GAGGAGAATGATGAACAAATCCAAGGCGGAATTTAAATGCTTTACTCGGAGTGATCCGGTTCTGCTTGGAAGTGGTGTAGGAGAAGATCAGCCATCTGCTCTGGTGGTGGGCAGGAAGGAGGAAGGGCAGAGAGCCAGCGGTTTATGGGCCTTTGGGAGGATGCCAGCCGTGGCTCTGTGTGAGACCTTCCGGCCTTCTCCGTGACATAACCAAGAAAGTTGCAGTCGTTCCAAGGGACCCTCCGGATTTCTGTTTCCCAAAAGGGATTTTGGTTTCAAAAACTGTCTTCATTTTTTTCAAGCTGGGAGAGAATACAGAAGGGACCTTAGAGGTCTTCTAGTCCAACCCCCTGCTCAGGCAGGAAACCCTATACCAGGGGTAGGCAACCCTGGCTCTTTTATGACTCGTGGACTTCAACTCCCAGAATTCCTCAGCCGGCTGTGCTGAGGAGAAAGGGAGAGGTTTCCAAGCTGAGCCATGCGGGCTCAGGAATTCTGGGAGTTGAAGTCCACCAGTCATAAAGCGGCCTAGGCCAGAAGTAGGCAACCTCGGCTCTTTTATGACTGGTGGACTTCAACTCCCAGAATTCCTCAGCCAGCTGTGCTGAGGGGAAAGGGAGAGGTTTCCAAGCTGAGCCATGCTGGCTCAGGAATTCTGGGAGTTGAAGTCCACGAGTCATCAAAGAGCCAAGGTTGCCCACCCCTGCCCTATACCATTTCGGACAAATGGCTGTCCAGTCTCTTCTTAGAAACTTCCAGTGTTGGAGCATTCACCGCTTCTGGAGGCAAGTAGTTCCACTGGTTAATTGTTCTCACTGTCCGGAAATTTCTTCTGAATTCTCGGTTGGATCTGTCCTTGATAGGTTTCCATCCAAGGTCGGTTAAAATGAGGACCCAGATTGTTGGGCGGGGGGGGGGGCAACAGGCTGACTTTGTAAAGCGCCTAGAGAGAGCTGTAAAGCCCCATAAAGCAGTATATAAGTCTAACGGCTATTGCTAGTGCTATTCAGCTATTCAGGCTAAAAGAGGCAGCTCTTTAAGAAGAGACTGGACAGCCATTTGTCTGAAATGGTATAGGAATTCTGGGAGTTGAAGTCCACGAGTCATAAAAGAGCCAAGGTTGCCTATCCCTGGTATAGGGTTACCTGCCTGAGCAGGGGGTTGGAATTGATGACCTCCAAGGTCCCTTCCAACTTTGTTGTTGTTGTTGTTGTTGTTGTTGTTGTTGTTGTTATTATTATTATTATTAAGTTCTCTTCTGCATCTGAATGGGCTCCAGTTTTCCAATCCTGATATCTATCTATCTATCTATCTATCTATCTATCTATCTATCTATCTATCTATCTATCTATTTATCTATCTATCTATCTATCTATCTATCTATCTATCTATCTATCTATCTTCCTTCCTTCCTTCCTTCTCTTTCTTCCTTCCTTCCTTCCTTCCTTCCTTCCTTCCTTCCTTCCTTCCTTCCTTCCTTTTCCTTCCTTCCTTCCTTCCNAATTTTAATTTAATTTAATTTAATAATTTAATTTATATACCGCCCTTCTCCCGTAGGACTCAGGGCGGTGCACAGCATATTAAAACAGACAAACAAAATACATCAAAGAACAAAAAACCCCCATAAAACCAAATTAAAAGCCAAATATTCGAAGCTGTGTGTCAATTAAAATTTTCTTAAAATCATCCCTACCTAAAATAATTAATTCCCCCCCCCAGCAAACCAGGGAAATATCCCCCTGCATTTCTGTAAAATCACTGTCTTGTACAGCGTCGGTATCTGGTGGACTTTCAGCCGTTTCTGTAGTTGGCATTTGATCCTGTCTATGGACCATCCGGTTGTGACTGAACGGTCGCTAAACGAATTGCTGTAAGTCAAGGACTACCTGAACCACAAAAGTCTCCCTATTCCATTAATAGACACATCGACCTACATCGAGAATCACTTGACTGTGAGCCAGCCGTGTGCAGCAGCAGCCAAAGAAGCTAATGCAATCCTGGGCTGTATAAACAGGCATAGAATCAAGATCACGCGAAGTATTAGTATCGCTTTACAAAATCCCTAGTGAGGCCACACCTGTAATACTGCAGCCAATTTTGGTCCCCGTAGCACAAAAAAGATGTTGAGAGTCTGGAAAAAGTTCAGAGAAGAGCAACTAAGATGATCCAAGGCCTGGAGACTAAAACATACAAAGAACGGCTGCGGGACTTGGGTCTGGCTAGTCTAAAGAAAAGAAGAAATAGGGGAGACATGATAGCAGCGTTCCAGTATCTGAGGGGCTGCCCCAAAGAAGAGGGGGTCACGTTATTCACCAAAGCACCAGAGGGAAGGAGGAGAAACAATGGTTGGAAGCTGATCAAAGAGAGAAACAACCTGGAATTAAGGAGAAACTTCCTAACAGGGAGGACAATTAACCAGTGGAACCGCTTGCCTCCAGAAATCGTGGGAGCTCCATCCCTGGAGATTTTTAAGAAGAGGCTAGACAGTCACTTGTCTGAGATGGCATATGTTCTCCTGCTTGAGCAGGGGGCTGGACTAGAAGACCTCCAAGGTCCCTTCCAGCTCTGTTCTATTCTATTCCATTCCATTCCATATTTTCTATTCTATTCTATTCTATTCTATTTAATTCTATTCCATTCTGTAATTCTACTCTATTCCATTCCATTCCATTCTATTCTATTCTATTCTATTCTATTCTATTCTATTCTATTCTATTCTATTCTATTCTATTCTATTCTAATTCCATATATTCTATTCTATTTCTATTCCTATTCTGTTCTGTTCTGTTCTGTTCTATTCTATTCCTATTCTATTCTATTCTATTCTATTCTATTCTATTCTATTCCATATATTCTGTTCTGTTCCGTTCCGTTCTGTTCTATTCTATTCTATTCTGTTCTATTCCTATCCTATCCTATTCTATTCTATTCTATTCCATATATTCTGTTCTGTTCCGTTCCATTCCATTCCCTTCTATTCTGTTCTGTTCTGTTCTGTTCTGTTCCGTTCCGTTCCGTTCCGTTCCATTCCATTCCATATATTCTATTCCATACATTCTGTTCTGTTCCATTCCGTTCCATTCTACAATCTCCCTATTCTAATATCTAACCAGCTTTGCAATCCTGCACAGCTGGTCCTTGGCCCCCTCCTGGCCTTAGAAAGTCATCTAGGCTAAGATTCCCGAGATCCCAGAATTCTGCAGACCCATGCGATACCCGGGAGTCCTCGACTTAACGTCCACAATCGAGCCCAAAGTTTCTGTTGCTAAGTGAGACAGCTGTTAAGTGACTTTTGTCCCGTTTTACGGCCCTTCTTGCCACGGTCGCTAAGCGAATCATTGCCGTTGTTAAGGTAGTCACCCAGTTGCTTGTCGGAAGGTCGTAAAAGGGGATCCCGTGACCCCGGGATGCCGCAAACCATCGTAAGCACGAGTCGGTTGCCAAGCCTCCGAATTTTGATCAAATGACCACGGGGATGCTGCAACCGCCGTCCGTATGAAAAAGGATCCTAAGTCACCTTTCCCCCCTCCGTCTCGTCGTAACTTTGAACGGCCACTAAACGAACGTTTGTAACTCTAGGATTAGCTGTGCCAAGTACCCGGGTCTTTTCCAAACTCTTCGTCTTCCCAACTCGGCTGTTTTCCCACCAAGTGCCTTTGACAGCCGTCCAACTCACCCTCCGAGTGTCGTGATCCGCATTCAAAACGCCGGGTGTGTGTGTGTCACGGGGGTGTGTGTCACTCAACCCGGAGATGCCTTCCCGATGCCTTTTAGCAGGCGGGCGAGAAGAATCAATGCCTGTCACTCACCGGTCCATCTGCAGAAACAGGATTATGGATCCGGGGCCTTTCGCCAGCACTTTAATCTTAAAATCAATGGGGAGACACAACTTGGCTTAGGGAAAGGTAACAGGTGTGTGTGTGTGTGTGTGTGTGTGTGTGTGTTTGTGTGGGGGTGACTTTGAATTGAGGTTTTGAAACTTCAAATGCAGAGGGGAGGGGTCTGATGTCCTTGTCTTTGTGATTGGAGGTGGGGGGGGCAAATGGAGAAGGACACACACACACCCCGGTCATAGCTGACCGAATTTCCACTCAAATGAACTCAAATTCAACAACATACTAAGCAAGTGGCCAAAGATTTTCCAGATTTTTAAGTACAGGTAAGTCCTTGACTTACGACCAGAATTGACCCCCCCAATTATCCGTATTATAATAATAATAAAAAAAACAACTGGAGCACCACTTGAACACCATTGGCATTGACAAGTTCACCATTAGTCAATTGCAAAAGGCGGCCTTACTAGGAACTGCTTCCATCCTGCGACGATATCTGTAATACCATCAAACATCCACATCTGCCTATCCCAGGTCCTTGGGAAGGACTCGATCGGTAGACAAAAATGCCAAATCCAGTCTGAACATCTGGCTGACTGTGTGATGATTAATAATAATAATAATAATAATAATAATAATAATAATAATAATAATAATAATAATAAAAAAAAAAAAAAAAGTTGGAAGGGACCATGGAGATCATCTCATCCAACCCCCTGCTCATATAGAAGACCTGTACCATTTCAGACAAATGGTTGTCCAATCTCTTCTTAAAAATCTCCAGGGATGGAGCCTTCACCGCTTCTGGTGGCAAGCAGTTCCACTGATTAATTGTTCTCACTGTCAGGAAGTTTCTCCTTAGTTCTAGGTTGCTTCTCTCCTGGATGAATTTCCATCCTTTGCTTCTTGTCCTGCCTTCAGGGTGCTTTGGAGAATAGCTTGACTCCCTCTTCTTTGGGGCAGCCCCTGAGAGATTGGAACACTGCTATCCTGTCCCCCCTCGTCCTTCTCTTCATTAAACTAGACATGCCAATTCTGGCAACCGTTCCTTGTATGTTTTAGCCTCCAGTCCACTTGTTTGCGTGTTTCAACTCTGCTTGGAAATGACTTGAAGATGGCTTTTCTTCACTCAGCCTCCCTGTGTGTATTTTTTCTTTTCGTCATCAGAGCACAGTCATTGTGGAAAAAACGGTCCAGGACCTCATGAATTTGATGCATGACCTAAGCGCCTACTCAGACCAGTTCCTGAACATGGTCTGCGTCAAGCTCCAACAGTACAAGGACACCTGCAACGTGGCTTACAGGTATGGCTACGGAGCTTCTCCCTCATCCGGGTCACACTTGTCCCAAAGGTGCTTTTTTTTCCAAGAGGCAACTCGACTTTCTTGGGTTTTTTTTTTCTCTTGAAGACTTTTCGCTCCTCATCCAAGGAGCTTCCTCGGTTCTGACGGAATGAGGTCGTAGTTCCCTAGCTTTTTGGGCTGCTGTAAAGGAGACGGCGGGAGATTTGCGCTTTCAGACTTACATGTTTCCGTTAAGGTAGCTTTAGAGAACAGTCCGATAAGAGAGGATGTAAGCCAGAGCTGCATAGTGGATGAAGAAAAAGATTTCCCTTGCTTTTTAGTCTGTAAAGGAGATGGCAGAAGCTTTGCACTTTCAGGCTTACAAGTGTCTGTTAATGTAGCTGTAGAAAACAGTCAGATAAGAGAGCGCGTAGCCCAGAGCTATGTAGTTCCCTAGTTTCTTGGGCTGTAAAGGAAACAGTGACAGATTTGTACTTTCAGACTTACAAGTTTCTATTAATGTAGCTGTAGAAAACAGTCAGTTAAGAGAGGGCATAGCCCAGAGCTGTATAGTTTCCTAGCTTCTTGGGCTGTAGAGGAGACGGCAGGATATTTGTACTTTCAGGCTTACAAATTTCTGTTAATGTAGCTGTAGAAAACAGTCAGATAAGAGAGGGCATTGCCCAAAGCTACGTAGTTCCCTAGCTTCTTGGGCTGTAAAGGAAACAGTGACAGATTTGTACTTTCGGACTTACAAGTTTCTATTAATGTAGCTTTAGAGAACAGTCAGATAAGAGAGGGCATAGCCCAGAGCTGTATAGTTTCCTAGCTTTTCAGTCTTTAAAGGAGACAACAGAAGCTTTGTACTTTCAGGCTTATAAGTCTCTGTTAATGTAGCTGTAGAAAACAGTCAGATAAGACAGGGCATAGCCCAGAACTGTATAGTTTCCTAGTTTCTTGGGCTGTAAATGAGACGGCGGGAGCTTTGTACTTTCAGATTCAACAGGTTTCTGTTAATGTAGCTTTAGAGAACAGTCAGATAAGAGAGGGCATAGCCCAGAGCTGTATACTTTCCTAGCTTTTCAGTCTTTAAAGGAGACAGCAGAAGCTTTGTACTTTCAGGCTTATAAGTCTCTGTTAATGTAGCTGTAGAAAACAGCAAAAAAAAAAAACCTCACCAGAGCCAGCGTGACTCGTTTAACATGCCTTGCTCAGCGACAGGGCTCAATTCTGGTCGTAAGTTGAGGACTGCCTGTAATACTTGGCCAAACCAGCTTCCTTCTTCTAAACTGTCCCCTGGTTATTTTTTTTTTCACTTTAGGAGCATCGTCCAATCGGACGAGAAGATGGTGATCAGCGCCTCTTGGGCCAAAGACGACGACATTACCAGACTCTTGAAGTCGCTTCCCAACTGGAGCAACATGGCCCAGCCCAAACAGCTGAGGCCTAAACGAGAGGAAGAAGAAGACTTCATAAGGCGAGTTTTTCCTTAGATCCATGGATGGAAATCAACGTTCCACCTGGACGGCGTCTTCTGGCGGGTGGGCCGTGAACCTCCCACCGTCTGGATGAATAAGGACAAAGTGCTAGGAGATTTTATCCGATTGTTTTAGTGAAGAAGATGGATAGGGCCACCCAGCTCACTCTTGGGGACTCCAGGTGGCTTATAGCAGGGGTCCCCAACCTACGGTCCGTGGCCCAGGACCGGGCCACGGGCTCTTGGCCAGCGAGCCGCAGAAACGGCTGGTCAGTGCGCGCACGCATGGGTGCGCATTCCCCCCACTTGTGCTAGCGCCCGCGGCCCCATTTGCGCATGCGTATGGGCGCGAACGGTGATGCACCTGCAGGGCGGGTGTCTGCAGCCTGGTTGCGCATGTGCCGCTAACCCAGGTGATTTGTGCGGCCCGTTTGCGCATGCACGAACGGGTTACTAGCCGCTGTGGGGGGTGGTGCGGCTGTTCGCGCATGCGTGAACGGGGATGCTAGTGCCGCGCCAGTGTGCGTGGCCTCGTGTATGTGTGTGTGCGTGTGTGTGCACCAATTTTGAAGCTGCTCTCCTTCCCTCCAGTCCTCGAGCCCAGAAAGGTTGGAGACCTCTAGCTTATAGGAATAAAGGAGGGAGGGAAGGGGTCCCTGCGGATTTTACTCCCCTAGTCCAGGGGTAGGTAACCTTGGCTCTTTTATGACTGGTGGACTTCAACTCCCAGAATTCCTGAGCCAGCATGAGGGAAACTTTGGCCCCTTTGTGACTCGTGGACTTCAACTCCCAGAATTCCTGAGCCAGCCATGCTGAGGGGAAAGGGAGAGGTTTCCATGCTGAGCCATGCTGGCTCAGGAATTCTGGGAGTTGAAGTCCACGAGTCACAAAAGAGCCAAGGTTGCTTACCCCTGGTCTAGGAGGTTCACCGCTTAGAACAGGAGCTCATGACTCAGCTTGGAAACCTCTCCCTTTCCCCTCAGCATGGCTGGCTCAGGAATTCTGGGAGTTGAAGTCTACGAGTCATAAAAGAGCCAAGGTTGCCTACCCCTGTCCTAAGTCCTCCTGTTCTAAGCGGTGAGCCTCCTAGACCAGGGGTAGGCAACCTTGGCTTTTTTATGACTGGTGGACTTCAACTCCCAGAATTCCTGAGCCGGCATGGCTCAGCTTGGAAACCTCTCCCTTTCCCCTCAGCGTGGCTGGCTCAGGAATTCTGGGAGTTGAAGTCCACCAGTCATCACAGAGCCAAGGTTGCCTACCCCTAGACTAGTCGTTGCCGACTATAAGGGTGGCGCTCATCTCTGTTTCAAGGGTGCAATCCCAGCAAAAAAAGCCAATCATCCCCTGCCTTGCTGCTGATAACAGTC